ATTTAATTTTAAATAATAATAAAAATCAATTTTTTATATTAAAATATTTATATGTAATTTATATATTTCACAAAGCGCAAATTCTTTTTGCAAAGTTTATGATATATTGCAATGTTTACATTTTTTAATGGTGATTGTCTTACAATTTTATAATTTTCAATATTATAAATGAATATCTTTATTGATAGTTTTAATGTATTTGCATTTAAAAAAAAATATAAATATAATCTCTTAACTTCAAAAATTGATAAAAACTATTTAAAATGGAAAAAACAATCTTATTTTATCAATAATTATATATAAATCCAATACATAATTGAAAGTACCCCTTCACAATATGTTTAAATAATAAAAGATATATAATTTATAAAATATAAATTGAAGATCTAAGGATAAATTTTAAGCATAATGAAGAAAAATCACAGTATTTTGTCATTTATATCAACATTAATATATTCAACAATTTTAAAACACTAAGTTAAGTTTATTTTGAAATTTTTTCATCATAGATTTATCATTATTTCTTTTTAAAAAAACTATCACAATAGTATCAAAAAGAAATTCTAACGGTTTTCACAGAAGCACAACGTAAGTAATAACACTGTAAATGTTTCAGAGCCGATGTTACCCACGAGGGAAGCGATGGGCATGCGAATGTAACACTATGTATTTCGATTTCTTCATCCAACGGCGTGGTAGCAGGATACAGTTCATGTACTTTTTCGTGAATTCCAATGGCATGCAGTATGCGTACACGTACAGCACTAGAGCACGCATATATACGAAGAAAGCACGTTAACCAAGCCGCGCATATACACCCATAGAACACACGGATATTATGTATGTATACATATATCAATGACGTGCGTTGCGTGTGCACACGCCTATGCACGCACAACGTGCAAAGCGTGGAAAGAAGACATCTAACCCCGTAAACTTCACGCACATACACAACGAAACACAAGCAAAGATGTAGTTCCCTCACCAAGCAGTATTGTCGATACGCGCGAGCCGCGCGTGCCGACACGCGGAACAATATACACTTATTCAAAAATTGCAAGTTCCGCGCGATCTATCTGACGCCCAAATATCTCATTCCCAGAACATTCCGATAATTGAAATTTTCACTTCATACACAAGAATTTAAGATCGACAGATTGCATGGTGCGCGAGATAGACGCGTTGCATTGTACCGGCACGCATGCACGCACGTACCATGCACAATTCAGGCAGCGCACACAACACCAACACCCCGACAAGACATACGACACGGACATGGATGCCTCTTTCTTTCGCGTAAATCGATGGGCACATTCAATTTCACTGGCTTTTCCCGGTAGGCCTTTTATTGTAAAACATGCCACTGACGGTTGCTATAGTTTTGACATAGTCACAGGATTACCACGGGATACGCACCTTCCGCACAGGGCCCTTGCCAGGGGCTGGCGAATTTACGATTTTTGGTCAAAAAATCGTCGGGGCATCAACCAAAGCAGAATTTCAACAATGGTGGCCGCTAGCGAGCCAGCCGCATGCAATGCTGACACCTCGCGGTGGCGGCGCGAATTACGTTTCTATCTTATTTCCTCTTTTACTAATTTTTTACACTCATCCGTTCATAATCATACGTTCTATCTTGCATATATGTATAATTCTTTTTGATGATTCTTACTACTACTTTTTTTTTATATCAATGATCAACATATTTAATAACGGATTTTAAATTATTATATTTGTTAAAATTTGTTAAAATTATTATATTTGTTAAAATTTGTTTAAGCACATTATTTTAAATTATTTAATAAAACTAATCATATAAAATATACATGTATATTTTAAATTTATTTGTTAAATTGAATTTTACAAATAATATTTTTTCATTAATATAATAATAAATGATATTTAAATTTATTAAAATATATTTGTTTATAAATAATATGTAATAAAATCGTTTAAAACGTGCATTTTTATAATTTTAAATTTTTTAAATTTTTGAAATATAAAATTAATATTTTAAACAAAATTTTTATATTTAAGTTCTATGTGTACTATCATATTTATTAATGATAGCATTAATGTTATTATTATTAATAATTACTATATGAAAACTTGAAACTACCCTTATCATCAACTTATATTCATGATCTATATCTATTAAATTTTTTTTTATTAGAATTCTACCCATATGTTACATAGAATTGCGCGTATAAATTTTAATTGAAAAATTTGATAATTCAAAAAATAGAATATATATAATTAAAAATTTTA